AGACTTCAAGTCCCGTGAAATATTTAGTTAAAAAAAACTTCACGGGACTTCAAGTCCCATGAAGTTTATTTTACTAAGTCTCTGGCCCACAATTGTGAAAATAACTTTTCAACAAGTAACAACAGCAGCCTTGGCAGCTTTCCATGCTTCAAACGAATCAAACCCCACTTGGCATGCTCTCCAACCTCAGCTCACAGATACCTCCAACCGTAACAATCCCAAATTCCCAATAATCGCCCAAAAAAAGACCTTTAAGTATATCCCAAAATCCCAACTCACAATCACATAACACACATAATAGATAGTCCCAAATAGCCAATTTATGCTCTCACTCTCTTCTCACTTCTCCTGCTACATTCTCTAGTGCCATCAAATCCTCAAACGCTTCCAATCAGCGTATGGCCAAAGCCTCAAAATGCATCGTTAAATTCTCAGCTAAAACTTCACGGGACTTGAATACCCGTGAAAGAATTATCGCCTTTAATTAAAGTCATTATAGATTGTTAAACTTCACGGGACTTTAAGTCCCGTGAAGTTTCAGACTTTTTTAGTCAAAACTAGCCCAGTTTCAGCCCAACGACTGAAAGCCTGAAACTAGGTCGGTTTTGATAATTTTTTTTAGAATACGTCTTTTTTTACGAATATTTTTTGTAAATAGTTTGGTTTTCAAAATTTCTCCTTAAACCATCGCTAGTAGTTGAGTAGGCTGGGTTAAGTTCTCTGTACAAAGGAGTGTTCAACTATTGACTGGTCCAAAATTATGGCTGTGCAAATTCTAGTAGTTGACACAATTCACCATTGAGTTTAACAATCAAGGCCTTGTCACCCCAAAGTACTTAATAAACAGTCTGTGGTGGTCTAGCAGAAACGTGAATCACATCAGTTATTCGGATTTGTACGGCCCATATACTTTTATATCTTCTTGTTGTACTTCAACCATCTTCACCCTGACGAATACAATTTGCTAAATTACACTTAAACATGCTATTATTTCCTAAAAAATCATTTATATAACTAAATTTTAAAACAGAAGCAATGAAAGTATCCTAAGTTATTCGCCGTGTGAATTTGCTTAACAATGTGAAACTTAACCTGAAAAAACAGAAATACCTGTCTAAATAACCCTCATGGTTAAAAAAAAAATCCAAACTTTGCTGTCACAACAAAGTTTCCTTAAAATTTCCTTCCCAATTCTACAAGGAAAAACTAGGGTTTCTAGTCTCTAATACTTGACCTTAGACCTTGTGGATGAGCAAGAGCAGACTAATCTTGGGTTGACAAACTGCAACAGGCGATCCTAATCTAGGATTTTGATTTGGGAGAAAATAGTCGGACTTTGAAGAGGAAGAGGATGAGGGAGTAAATGGTACTTAATAAAGAGTGAAATTAATAGGATTGTAATTAATATAAATAATTGATACTTAAATTAGCCACATAAGGTGGCACGTGGAAATATTCTGAATTTTTTTACGGCTGGTTGACAGAAAGTAGTAAACTATGCATTTTTTAACAACCGAAAGTACATGTTTTTGCTCTGTTTTGAGACTTTCCCGGTAAGGGCCTGCTTGTTTGTCAACTTTTTGGGGTGTAATACTGTAGATGTCAGGTGCTACAATATTACGCCCAACTCCTCTGTTTGGCTTGCTTATGGTTACTGTAGCTGAGTTGGCATTATTGTAACTGAGTTGGCAGCCCCTCAACTTTTCTCAGCAAAAAACAATAAATTTGGCTCAATTTACCGTAGCTATCACATACAACTAGACCATTAAATTTTCTCTTACTGTAGCTACTAAACGTCTGTTTTTGTTGGAAACAATAGCGTGTTTTAAGTGCGATGTAGCCATTAAATTTTGGTCACCATTGACCGGAGATGTAGAGAGCAGTGACAGAGAAAGTAAGAGGGAAACATTGGGCCCACTCGCACCTCTGTCTAGCTCTCCTCCTTTAAACCATAAGACAAATTTTGAAAACCATCCTATTGATAAAAATATTCGTAAAAAACGACCTATTCTAAAAAAATTTGTCAAAACCGACCTAGTTTCAGCCGTCGGGCTGAAACTGGGTCGGTTTTGATAAAAAAAAAATCTGAAACTTCACGGAACTTGAAGTCCTGTGAATTTTAGCAGCCTATAACGACTTTAATTAAGGGCGACAATTCTTTCACGAGACTTCAAGTCCCGTGAAATATTTAGTTAAAAAAAACTTCACGGGACTTCAAGTCCCATGAAGTTTATTTTACTAAGTCTCTAGCCCGCAATTGTGAAAATAACTTTTCAACAAGTAACAATAGTAGCCTTGGCAGCTTTCCACGCTTCAAACGAATCAAACCCCACTTGGCATGCTCTCCAACCTCAGCTCACAGATACCTCCAACCATAACAATCCCAACTCCCCAATAATCGCCCCAAAAAAGACCTTTAAGTATATCCCAAAATCCCAACTCACAATCACATAACACACATAATAGATAGTCCCAAATAGCCAATTTATGCTCTCACTCTCTTCTCACTTCTCCTGCTACATTCTCTAGTGCCATCAAATCCTCAAACGCTTCCAATCAGTGTATGGCCAAAGCCTCAAAATGCATCGTTAAATTCTCAGCTCAAACTTCACGGGACTTGAATACCCGTGAAAGAATTATCGCCTTTAATTAAAGTCATTATATACTGTTAAACTTCACGGGACTTTAAGTCCCGTGAAGTTTCAGACTTTTTTAGTCAAAACTAACCCAGTTTCAGCCCAACGGCTGAAAGCCTGAAACTAGGTCAGTTTTGATAATTTTTTTTAGAATACGTCTTTTTTTACGAATATTTTTGTAAATAGTTTGGTTTTCAAAATTTCTCCTTAAACCATCGCTAGTAGTTGAGTAGGCTGGGTTAAGTTCTATGTACAAAGGAGTGTTCAACTATTGACTGGTCCAAAATTATGGCTGTGCAAATTCTAGTAGTTGACACAATTCACCATTGAGTTTAACAATCAAGGCCTTGTCACCCCAAAGTACTTAATAAACAGTCTGTGGTGGTCTAGCAGAAACGTGAATCACATCAGTTATTCGGATTTGTACGGCCCATATACTTTTATATCTTCTTGTTGTACTTCAACAATCTTCACCCTGACGAATACAAATTTGCTAAATTACACTTAAACATGCTATTATTTCCTAAAAAATCATTTATATAACTAAGTTTTAAAACGGAAGCAATGAAAGTATCCTAAGTTATTCGCCGTGTGAATTTGCTTAACAATGTGAAACTTAACATGAAAAAACAGAAATACCTGTCTAAATAACCCTCATGGTTAAAAAAAAAATAATCCAAACTTTGCTCTCACAACAAAGTTTCCTTAAAATTTCCTTCCCAATTCTACAAGGAAAAACTAGGGTTTCTAGTCTCTAATACTTGATCTTAGACCTTGTGGATGAGCAAGAGCAGACTAATCTTGGGTTGACAAACTGCAACATGTGATCCTAATCTAGGATTTTGATTTGGGAGAAAATAGTCGGACTTTGAAGAGGATGAGGATGAGGGAGTAAATGGTACTTAATAAAGAGTGAAATTAATAGGATTGTAATTAATATACATAATTGATACTTAAATTAGTCACATAAGGTGGCGCGTGGAAATATTCTGAAATTTTTTTTACGGCTAGTTGACAGAAAGTAGTAAACTATGCATTTTTTAACAACTAAAAGTACATGTTTTTGCTCTGTTTTGAGACTTTCCCGGTAAGGGCCTGCTTGTTTGTCAACTTTTTGGGGTGTGTAGATGTCAGGTGCTACAATATTACGCCCAACTCCTCTGTTTGGCTTGCTTATGGTTACTGTAGCTGAGTTGGCATTATTGTAACTGAGTTGGCAGCCCCTCAACTTTTCTCAGCAAAAAACAATAAATTTGGCTCGATTTACCGTAGCTATCAGACACAACTAGACCATTGAATTTTCTCTTACTGTAGCTACTAAACGTCTGTTTTTGTTGGAAACAATAGCGTGTTTTAAGTGCGATGTAGCCATTAAATTTTGGTCACCATTGACCGGAGACGTAGAGAGCAGTGACAGAGAAAGTAAGAGGGAAACATTGGGCCCACTCGCACCTCTGTCTAGCTCTCCTCCTTTAAACCATAAGCCAAATTTTAAAAACCATCCTATTTACAAAAATATTCGTAAAAAACGACCTATTCTAAAAAAATTTGTGAAAACCGACCTAGTTTCAGCTGTCGGGCTGAAACTGGGTCGGTTTTGACGAAAAAAAGTCTGAAACTTCACGGAACTTGAAGTCCCGTGAATTTTAGCAGCCTATAACGACTTTAATTAAGGGCGACAATTCTTTCACGAGACTTCACGTCCCGTGAAATATTTAGTTAAAAAAAACTTCACTGGACTTCAAGTCCCATGAAGTTTATTTTACTAAGTCTATGGCCCACAATTGTGAAAATAACTTTTCAACAAGCAACAACAGCAGCCTTGGCAGCTTTCCACGCTTCAAACGAATCAAACCCCACTTGGCATGCTCTCCAACCTTAGCTCACGGATACCTCCAACCATAACAATCCCAAATCCCCAATAATCGCCTCAAAAAAGACCTTTAAGTATATCCCAAAATCCCAACTCACAATCACATAACACACATAATAGATAGTCCCAAATAGCCAATTTATGCTCCCTCACTCTCTTCTCACTTCTCCTGCTACATTCTCTAGTGCCATCAAATCCTCAAACGCTTCCAATCAGTGTATGGCCAAAGCCTCAAAATGCATCGTTAAATTCTCAGCTCAAACTTCACGGGACTTGAACACCCGTGAAAAAATTATCGCATTCAATTAAAGTCATTATAGACTGTTAAACTTCACGGGACTTTAAGTCTCGTGAAGTTTCGTACTTTTTTAGTCAAAACCGACATAGTTTCAGCCCAACGGATGAAAGCCTGAAACTAGGTTAGTTTTAATAATTTTTTTTAGGATACGTCTTTTTTAACGAATATATTTGTAAATAGTTAGGTTTTCAAAATTTCTCCTTAAACCATCGCTAGCAAAACCGATACGCATGAAGCCAGAGAGAAAGACAGAGAGCCGCGTAAATTCGCGAGAAGGAACAAAACCTCACCTCGTCATTTCCCATGGCGAATCAACACAGTCCAAGAATCACGGATTCCTCCAATAAAGGTTGCATGCCCAGATTCTCCATTTCCGTTTCTGGTTCTAAATGGATCTTGAAGGCAAAGAAGAGGGCTGGGTTTGGGTCCGTCGCCCTAACGAAGGGGATTCGAAGTTCTGGGGATTAATGGATCCAATTCAGGATCCGCCTCTTGAAGGCAAAGAAGAGGGCTGGGTTTGGGTCCGTCGCCCTAACGAAGGGGATTCGAAGTTCTGGGGATTAATGGATCCAATTCAGGACCGATGCTGCTCCAATCGGAAACGGCCGCCTCGGGGCGATGATCTGGGGCGGCGTCTGCACGGAAACTCTCCAACTCAACCGTAATAAAGCTCTTTTTTTTCCCTTCTCTTTTCCTAATATTTTGTTCAGTTTATTATTTTCCGGAAACTGTAAGTTTTCTGATAGAAACTGTAAGTTTTCTGATAGAAACTGTTAGTAAGAGAAATTAACCAAGTGTTCTGCACGATCAGGAGCACAAGCAGTGATGAACATAAAAAAAAATCAAACAAAAATGAGTGAAGATCAAAAAGTAAATTTTCAGCTACTTGAAGTAATGTGTCAAACAGACAGAAGCGTATCACTTTGCTAATTTGTATTTCATAATTTTAGTATTAGTTTTTGCTTTTTAACACTTTTGTCAACCGAACGGGTTCCAATGGAGATGATCGAGTAACATGAAAAGTTATCAAAACACTATTTTTCAAACTCAGAGCCTGCGAAATGGAACATCTAGCCACTTCATTTTCTCACTTTCCATCTAGGTACCGTATTTCATCCACTTTCAACATATTGAGTCTGATGGGAGGAAGGGAGGGAGGGAGGGAGTTAAGGCAAATAGAAGTTCTAATTCTTAGAAAATCTCAAACTACAACTTTTTCTTTATATTCAAATTGCGAAGATCAATCTTGTTCTCGAGGTACAATTTTTATTAGTTTATTGTCAACAGTTTCAATATGAATTGCATAATTGGTGTCATAAATACACTCAAGATACAAGTTTTATTAGTTTATTGTCAACAGTTGCAATATGAATTGCATAATTAGTGTCATAAATATGATTAGTGAAGAAAGTTCGGGGCTAACTCTAGTTGGCTACCTCAAAGTGTGTCGAGATTTCTATGTCTAAGATTTCTTTGAGAGTTCCTGGTCCGTTGCATTAATAGCGGACCAAATAGATGTTTATCCTTGGATTTTTGTACCGATGCTGCGATGCAATGGTACGTATCTGTTTGGTGCATCATCAGTGTATTAGGGCCACTAAATATTTTCTTCCTTCTGAGGAAATTGTTGGATGGACAAGGACCACTGAATACTTTCTCCCTTTTAAAGGAGATGGTTGGATCAATAATCTGTTATTGATGATAACTAAATGTCGATCCAGAACTTTGGTGTAGTAGGTTTGCTGGCTAGAAATTTCATGACAAGAAAATATCTGCATGGCCCTTGTGGAGTGCCATTGTGTGCGAGAAACTGGTTACTTGGAACTTACTCCAAAATTTCCTCTGTACTTGAGACTATGGTTATAAACAAGTTCCTCCAAACATGTACATTGAGCTGAAATAGGGTAGTGAGCCTATTTGTTATCATGGTGTGGCTGTGAAAAAGGTGTTGCTTTCCCCTGGGAGATCAAACTAGAGCAAAAGCTCTCGCAGAAACTCCCCACAAGCTTATGCTTATTGCTTGTTCATCCATCCGAAGGCCTTACCTTCTGTGCCATTATGTGATTGGTTGTGGAAAATTTGTAGTAAAAAGAAATGAAGAAAAATTAATTTGTATTCCTTTAATCTCAGTTACAATTGGATTTTCTGATTACAAAAGAGAGGAGAATTGATGCAAATCCTCCTCTTTGTTGAAGTCTGGGTTCTTCACGGTGGTGATGGAGTGCCTCACTTGAATGCTCGTGTCGAATTTGCTCTCCGTTGACGATCCGAACATCTTGTTTCACTGGAATGTGATCTTCTCTTTACGATTTGACGTTGTGGAGAACTTGCGTGACAAGTTTAAAACTCTTGATGAGTTGATAACTCTGAACGAATTTGGAACTCTATGAAAGAGTTGATTTAACCGAAATCGGTTTGTCAGCCAAGGACGAGCTCCTCGTTGCTGAAGTTGAAGAGGACCTCCGTTGGAGAATGATGCCGATCCCTTCAGGCCCTTTTTGCTCCAGAAAATTCCCCCTTTACTGCCAAGTCCCAAATCCAAAAAGCCAGTCCCAACTCAATTGAGTTTTTCACTATTTATAGAGGATTTAGGGGTGTAATCGCTCCCTTAAATCTCTCATTAATGAGGGTTTAATAGGGTGTAACTGTCTCGCATAAATCTCTCCATGATAGGGTAGTGACCCCCTCAAATCGTGGGGAGAAAACGGTTCTGGAACCGTTCAAATCGTGCTTGAACGAGTCAAACGCTGAAAACAGCATTCTGGGCCCAAACTCTGCGTTTTAGACCTGAAACGCAGAGTTGGGCCTGTTTTAGGCTGAAAACGCACAGGTCGCGCTGTGCAGAGATGAACTCTGCGTTTTGGACCTGAGACGCAGAGTTGGGTTCTGCATGAACTGTGCGTTTTTGGACCTGAGATACAGAGTTAGGCTTCGTATGAACTGTGCGTTTCTGGACCTGGGATGCAGAGTTGGGCTCTGCATGAACTGTGCGTTTTTATCGTTGGACGCAGAGTTGGGCTCTGCATGAACTCTGCGTTTTTTTATCGTTGGACGCAGAGTTAGGCTCTGCATTTTAAGTCCACGAACTCTGTGTTTTTGATTCTGTAATGCAGAGGCGAGCCTTAGGCGGGCTTGGCGAGTTTCAGGCTAAGTCCAATGTTCAAGCGAAGTCCAGTCTTACAGATGGACTTCAGAACATAACATTCTGTGAAGAACATGTCATAACTTTCAAACCGTAAGTCGGAATTGGACGAATTATATATAAAAATCGGCTATCTTGACGAGACGGAGCCGACCAAACCAACCTCATAGGGATCGGTTTGCTCCGTCAGTTTTGCCAAATTCCTTACGGTTTGAGAGATATCTGCGTTTTGGTTTGAAGAGACCGTCGATTTGTAGTATCTTTTGCTAGAGCGTTGCAAAGATCG